TAAAAAGGGGAAATTTTCCGAGGGGGGAACGGATAGAAAAAATGAAATTTTATGACCCTAAAATTGGTGCGGGTTTTTTTTCCGCTCGTGATTTTCGTATAAAACAACTTTTACCGAGCATTTTTTATTTGCCCCGAACACTTGGGGGAAATGATGTTATGAATCAGACCTAAGAAAAATTTTTTTTACAAAAGCCTGTTTTTAATCGTTTAAAAAAAAGCAAAGCATCGAATAAATAGAGTGGCGAAAGGGTCGGGGGGTTGATAATAGGAAAACTAATATTCCTGTAAATTTTAAACCTTTAATTTACTGAAACACAAGAGTTACTGTACCTACTTTAAATGTTCTTTTTGCCGTGTGCTTTTAAATATTTTTTAAAAAGGGATTCAGTTTAGAAATGAAATGGGATCGCATAAGATTTTTTTGGGGGGGCGACCTTAGGGGGGGACTTTTTTTTTTCGAATTTTAATATAATGTAGATAACATTGCACCCGCGGCGGGTCGCCTGTAACAACTCAAGTGAAAGTAAGGGCTGCGTGCATTGATATAATACTTACATAGATGAGTAATTACCGCCTAAAATCGTTGCTACTGCACATATGTCCACAGGCATATGCGTAGCAAACGTCAATTCATTATTCAATGTGGCGTCGACCGAGTTGAACATAGCGACACATGACAGTAACAATCGCCAAAATGGCTAAATGCGTAGTGAAAGAATGCGATTCAAGGTCACAAAACATTAATAAATCATGCGGAATTACTTTTCACGTGTAATTTTATGGTTTTTGTATTGATAATATCGTAAATAAGGCTATAATTGAAATAAAACACTGATAATTGTAATTTAGAATCAGTGTTACCATTAAAAAATCATTTTGGTTTTTCCCACATTAGTGGGAGAATTTATAATTTATGAAATAATATGCTTTATATATAATTTATGAAATAATATTTTTTTAAAACATTTTTCCAATAATAATAAAATATAGGAAGAACGGTAGTTGTTAGGGCTGGACCGATCCCTTTTTTTAGGGACACCGTTGAACTTTCACTGCTAGCTTGGCAGAAGTGCTGGAGACTTTTGTACAAAAAAATTAATCTATTGGTTTTCTTAATTTATTATCAATTTTAAATAATAATTGTACAAAATAATAATAATAATAAATGTTTATCATAAAAATAAAAATATAAAATAAAAAAGTAAATAAACATAAATAATTTTTTTTATAAAATAAAAATTAAATATTTTTTTATTTTTTTTATTTGTTTTTTAAATTATAATAGAATTTGCAATACACCTTATGGATTATTTATTATCAGTACAAGTTGATCATTCACTTTTATTATTAAATGCTATTATTTTTACATACGTAAAAATAAGATTGTATCATGAAAGTAAAATACACAAACTTATAAAAAAGAGTCTAAAAGACAATTGTATACAAAACTGATGCTTCACAGCGCAGTTTGATTTTACACTGAATATAAACCCTTTTAACCAAATATTTCCAGTTATTTTATTATTTATACCTATTCTATTCAATTCGAAATATATTATTTAGAATATTTAAATTAATTTATTTTATTACAAAATTGTTTTAAAAAAAAATTGTTTCTTAGTTGTTATGGGTAAAATTTCATACGGTAGTCAACACTGGCCCACCATCGTAAAGTTATATCTTTGTCTTTGTCTAATCCGAGCGATGGTATTGTTCTTGTCTCGCGTGTAAATGAGACATAAATATGTTTACTTTCAAATGTTTAGTGGTATCAAAGCTACGTCGTCAAAGTTCAAAAGTGGTTACACTTTTTTCGACGTGTGATAATGAGGTTTGCTTCTCTAGTGTTGTTTTAACTCAATGGCTGCGTGTAACACTAACTGCGTTTGTGTGTCTTATTATCCGTAGTAATACTAACTAATAGGTATAATAATTGTTATAACTTATTTAACTTTTTCTTACCTACTTTATTCCACCTAGGATTGCCATCTGTTTTAAGATCAACATTCTTTTTTTTTTTAATCCGAAATATTACTGGCTTTCCTTGCGGCTGCTATCCCTGCCCTTGCGGCTGCTAATCATCTACAAGTTATTTTTTCTTACCTTTGAATTGCATCTGAGGGACGGAAAATATTCATATCTTAAATCCTTTGGTGTACCCCAGAAAAACGTGAAAGAAAAATTCCATAATCAGTGGTTGAGCAGAGGCGCGAAAGCGTAACAAACACACAAATTATATTATACTTAATAAAAAATAAGTACGCCTTGAAACATATCCAGTACTTAATGTTAACGTAGGCAACCACACTTCATGTGCACATAAAAAGAAGAGTATAACTAGGTACCTCATTAGTTTAATGACGTTTAATTGCCATATAAAGTGTAATAAGTACCCTCCATTCTCACACCACACCTAATCATCTAGAAGATTCCATGGCAATCAATAGTAAATATTATGTATTTAAGTTTTCCGTCGTAACAAAAAACGAAGGTCAACTTTACAATAACATCAAAGACTAGTCCACAATAATAAAGGAATTTTTGGTGCATTTTATTTTCCTTCTGATCTGTTGTTTTACTTATCTGACTGTGCGAAAGAGAGGGAGATATATCGCTCGCGCTCTATCTTACACAACTATCGCGTTCCACTCCCCGCCGCCGTCGCCCGCATAATATTTTCGATGCATCGCGCTATACGGCTACCCCGCCTCCGTGCCTCGCCCAAAATTGTTGGTTTCCATTGTCGCTTTATTGTTCATTTAATTATTTTGTAATAGGAAGCACCAAGGGTTCGTCCATAATTTTGATATAGATCTTTTGAGATATCTTTTAAACATGAGGGTTCGGATAGCTGTAAAATGGTTATGTACTTAAAGGTTTAACCGCCATCTCACCATTGGTCTATTATCAACTAATAACTATTAGTCCGTGTGGTGACGGATTAAGAATACAAATTGTCACCACCCCAATTCATCCCGTGGGTGTCGTAAGAGCCGACTAAGGGAGCAAACTAAGCAGGACAACAGCACTGCAAAGAGAAGGAAAACTTGAAACAAACCCTATACCAACCCGTCTGGCCAGCGTGGTATAGTAGGCCAAAACCTCCTTTCTAAGGAGAGGCCTATGTCCAGCAGTGGACTAGTATAGGCTGTTGATGATGATGATGATGAACTATTAAACAAACTTATTTAGCATTAAAATAGAGCTGAGTATCATATTATTTTAGTATTTAATATACTTGGCAAAGGAGAATGGCAGATTCTGTGCCCCTAGTAATATATGATAGATAGTTTTGAGATTTGTACCGTTTATAAAGTGGACTCACTTTATGGTCATGGTCTATTATCCTAACTATTTTCATGTAATTATCAAAATTCTTCTCACATAATTATTACAACTGCAACAACTAAACGTTCAAGTGTTGTTAACAAAATGCATTCCTGCGTTTTCTAAACTTACCATGCATAAAATTTAAATTACAAAAAAAAGAATATGTTTACATAACGACTTTTACACACTTTTACACACAAACGCTTGGATGCCATTAACACGCTTGAGAGTGTGCTTCGGACAGGTAGACATAGCCGACGTGAACATATTTTTATTCAAAATAGAAAATATGCTCTAGCTCTATTGCTCAACTAAACTCCACAATCAGTAAAGTATTGAGACTTAATGTTGATTCCCGATTGCTCAACTACAATATTTGTAATATCGAATTAAGCAGTAGGGAACAAGCACGCGCCAACGTGTAAATACGTCGCAAACGCTTACAGCGAACTTCCTTTGATCTGTGTTCAAAAACCGATACTAGACCGATCGACGACGAGCATACGCGAATACCTTGTTTACACACTTGTGGACAATTTGTCGAGGCTCGCCATGCGGGTGAACGGCCTAGTAAATGAATGATTTTGAAAGATGTCTAGGTTAACTTGTTGACAGCAGTCTGTTGTCTTCAGTCTAGCTTATTATGCAAACTATAAACTGAAATAACTTTTGAACACAGAGTTCTGAAATCTGGTAATTAAGTTTTAATAATCAGATTTTTTGAACTTTGAGATTTTTAGTAATAATTGATGATATTATCAAACAAATAAATACAACAATAATCCCTATCATGTTAAGGGATTACATTGTCTAGTTGATCTATTTATTTAAATTTGTACCGTTGCTTAAAATCCATTTTAGAAAGAAACTATCTAGGAATTTACACACATACACGTATTTGCCCCCGATACGTCAGAAGATCTTACAAATTAATGTGTGTTATGTGCGTTAAAATGTCAAGTCTTTCGTTGAATCAATGCTTTCAAAGGAATATTTCAGAAAGTTTTAGTTTGAAACAATAATTCTGCAGAATTTTCAACTTCGTAAAAGTAAAAGAATTCTTTATTTTGTTTATAGCATTAGCTATATATAAGCAAGACAATTTATAATTATTTGATATTTAAAACGATGAAGTTGCAAAGTACACTTTTTTTTTAAATTAATTAAACTGCGTCGATGAAATGTTTAGGTTGTTGTCAGCGAAAATGTTTCATGATTTAATTAAACTAATAGCCTAATAGGTATAATTACGAATATGATCAGTTAATGAACTTGTTTTTGAAAATCCTACATAAGTAGCGCCTAACAAAATAATGTACTTAATAGCGCAGTAAATTGTATAATGGACACGATTCTACTGATTCTCGGTAATCGCACGAAGTCGTCGTAAACAGCCCTGCTGCGGCCTCGCGCTACGCTACGATGCCAATCACCAATCACACGCCAGCGTTACATCGTATAGCGTGATAACCGACCAATGAGCAATCGCGTTCATCACGCGATTTCTAAAAATAGCTTATCTGAGTCACTCAATAAAAGCAGTGGTTGTTTCTTAATATTGTTTAGAAACAAGTGGAACGTTGACTGTGTCGGACGTGCGGCGCCGCATGTTAAAGTTTTGAAGTTTCGCAGTGAGTTCAGTGATACCGAGGCGTTCGGTGCAAACACATGGTTCGACGTTTCCAACACGGCATGGAGCCCACTTTCTACGACGAGCAGTATCCCAGCAACGTTTCAGTGGAGAACCTGAAACGACCACTAACTTTGGACGTGGGGCGGGGCGGCAAGCGAGCGAGATTCGCCGCGCCTGTCCTCTCCTCTCCAGACCTACAGATGTTGAAACTCGCCTCACCGGAGCTCGAGAAGCTGATCATCCAGAACGGCATGATCACCACGGCAACTCCTACTCCTGGCAATAACGTGCTATTCCCCCCCGCGGTTCAGCCGACAGAAGAGCAAGAAATGTACGCGCGCCCGTTTGTTGAAGCGCTGGACAAGTTGCATCACTCGGAGCCGATGCCACCGATCAACAGGCGTGTGTACGCGGACCTGGACAGGCCGCTGGAACGTTACCCCACTCCAATGGTTAAGGACGAACCGCAAACAGTGCCCAGTGCCGCGAGTACGCCCCCTCTATCTCCTATTGATATGGATTCGCAGGAGAGAATCAAACTAGAACGCAAAAGGCAAAGAAATCGGGTAGCAGCTTCCAAGTGCAGACGGCGAAAGCTTGAAAGGATCTCTAAGTTAGAAGACAAAGTGAAGATCCTGAAGGGAGAGAATGTGGAACTAGCGTCGATGGTGGTGAAACTTAAAGAACACGTGCACCGGTTAAAAGAGCAGGTTCTGGAGCATGCCAACGGTGGCTGCCACATCGATTCTCACTTCTGATCGGGTTGCTGCCGCCGCCGCTGCACCACATTCCATGCTAGTCGCGCCCGGTAGGACGCAGCATACAAAGCGATTTGTGATCATAATTTTACTGTGTAATATATAGTTAATGAACACTAGTGGGTAAGGTGTTGAAGTCGCTACGTTAAGGATGCTGTGGATGTATCGTTAAGTTTGAGAGATTAGGTTGCCAGTGGTCGCCAGTGATGAGTGCAGGCAGAACCTCCGCTCGAAGAGACCATTCTAAGACTGTCTTTGTGAAGAGGTTTAAGTTCGCTTAGCGACGGATGTACTTAGAGCGAGTCACAACTACTAAAGCTTTTAGCTTCCATTGTAAGTTGCAGAAGTGATGTTTTCCTTTATCAGTATTGCGTTGTCCCATTTAGAATATAAACTAGAAAGGATAATCGTGCGACGTCATTCGTGAGCGAACTGACTGAACGAGGTTGAAGCGACGTTGCCAGTTTTACTACGACAAATTTCCCGTTTCAGCGATGTTGCCGCACTTGCCTCTCTGAATCGGGGATTTTCATTGTTCATTGTGTGCGGACCATTGTGTGTATTTGTCTGTCCAGTAGAATCTTATTATAATATTTTAGTTAACGTTTCGTTATTTATTACGAATTAGACAGAGACACAAACCGCTGTCTTATGACAGACACACAGGTACATACAACGGCCAGTGCGAAAGAGATAGAATACATTCATATACATACGTATAAGTGGCAACGGCGCATCGGGGCTTGAACCGAGTCACGAGCGGATGTTCTGCTAATTAAAATTCCGCCTGCGCCGCCCTCGCGGAATGGCGGCCATGTGTTCAACACTCGGACGTTCCGAATCACGTTTTGTTGCACAAGGTTAACTTTTTCAAAGTGACAAAACGTTTCGTTGCTGCCGCGAGCCGGAACGTCTTTGTTAGCTTTGCTTAATTGTTTTGTGACAAATTAAGTGCTTGTATGGAAGACTGATTGTATGAGAGAAGCCCGATATGCTAGCAAGGAGTGCCTTTTAAGCATGAAAGAGAGAGAGCGAGAGAGCGTTGCATCGCGCAAATTATTTTCCCGTTTTGATAAATGACTCGGGAATGATCCCCGGTGCTTTAGAGGACGAGACTTGTGTATGAAGCCGTCCGGTTTAAAATATTAATTGTGGATGTATGATAGCGTTTTAATGTTTTGAGCGATCGTAAACGACACGTGATAGATGCGAGTGAATGTGAGATGGAAGTATTTATTAGTGAGAATGTCTATCTTATAGAATGAAGTAGCAATCTCGAGTGCCTACGCTTTGTAAACTAAAGCCTATACATATGTTTTAATTGTTTTTGTTACCATTAATGTGCTGCAGTAAACTGTACTGTACCATTGTCTTCTTTAGATTATTATAAGTAATTGTAATACCAATTAACAAGTTGAATTGTTATTATAGACTATACATGGCGAACGGGCGCGTTGTGCGTAAATAGGAAGTTGTTTCTGCTCCTTTACGCACAGACGCAGCCGGCGTCCATTTGTATTATTTTTTATACAAAAGAAATCGTCAGAATGTTAACAGTAATTTGTAAGTTTATAAAAGATATGGAAACAGTTATACTAAAATAATATATTTCTATAAATTTAACAAAGAATATTGTTTTATACTGAATATCATATTGTATGATAAAATTAAAAGAGAAAATAAATTATGAAGATTATTATACCATTTACTTTTTCCTTTCATTTTTATACCCTTTAATGCCTAATCTCAATACTATGATTTTGTAACATTATCCACAACGTGTTAACCTAATTACTCAGTCAAATTGACAACGAAGAAACCGACATTCAAGGGTCATTTCTTAGTTATGTCATGTAAGCTATTGCTGTACTAAAGCGTCAAAGAATATTCAAAAGGTTTCGTAGAAGACTACATTAACAATATAGAAGAAAAATAGAATAGTTACAATAAATAATAACCTAGAAATATGTTACAGAATCAAATTCATTATTTTTCTAAAAAAAGTCGTTATGAATTATAATAAAATATACTCTTAATAATGTGGTTAATTTTTTTATGAAATTTCAATGAGAGTGAAAGGGAAGAATTTCCTTTCAAATAAAAAATTATGAATCGGTTTATAAATGACGGGCAATTGTGAGCCAAACAGCCGAATTGAGAACTTATTTTGAAGTAACAAAAAAGAGATAAGATAATAAGAGAAACAGAGATACGACACAATTAAGTCCAAAATGACAAAATAGTAGTAATAGCTTTGTAAAATGTCGAGTCATTGCTAGCAAAATTACATAAAGCAATATCAACAGAATCCATTATTCAGTGATAAAAGCAATATTTTAATCTCTCACAACAGCAGTACTTAAAAAGATTAAAAGTAAATTATTGTTCTAAAACCAGGTACCTAGTATTGTCTGCATAGTAAGAAATGGACTTCAGGTACTAATGGCTTTCTAATCAGTGCCCGTCGGCTGTAGACAGCAGTGAAACAAAAAAAAACAAGTGACGTTTAATTGTTGTCTCACATTTTTTTTCAAAAGAACGAATCAATGAAAGCTATTGGTATTGGTTGTGGGCATGGTGTTTGGTTTCCGCATTTAGATTCAAGAGTGGTCCTATTTACGTCGAGGACTGGTTAGCTAGGTGAGCCAACCAAGCTCCTTCCAGAAGCGCAGAAGCCTCCTGGGGCGTTCACAGGCTTCTAGGAGCGATTTTGTATCGGGAATGATACTTGCCCGTTGTGTGGCCACTCCCTCGCATTCCAGGATTACGTGGGCGGCCGTTTCTTCTGCTTCCAGACATCCCCTGCACAGAGGGCTGTCCGTCGCATTGATGATGAATAGTTGCCGGTTCAGGGCTAGGTGTCCTGTTATAGTTCCGACAACCATTCGGATTTCCAGTCTGCTAACACGAAATTACATCTGATTATATCATCTATACCAATAAATAAAATTGAAGTGACTGTTTGTAACATCAAAATAATGTTTTTTTTATGCTCACACGGTTTGCACTATACCTACGAGAAACCAGTTTAAAAATTTCGTCTGTCTGTCTGTCGGTTTGTTCCGGGTAATCTTAAAAGAGGCAGCACCGATTTAGCTAATACTGTACTACTGTCTATATAAAGAGTAATTTGGCAATTTTTCTTCTTAGAAAAACCCATAAAAATAATTGCCTGGTCCGGAAATCGAAATCGAGGCCTCATGAACTGCAGTCGCATCGGTACTGCGAGTTCGGTGAACTACAAACAAAGTCGCGGGTATTTTTTTGAAAAGCAAAGCTGATGTGATTTATTTGGAAGTTTTTTATTTGGAGAACGCGATAACCTTTAGACATATTAGTCGGATTTGATTTTTTTAAATTTAATGTCAATAAAGGGGGAGTCATGCTTCGTCACATAATTATCTAAATATAAGGGACGGCTCGAGCGAAGTGACAGGTACAACGGCCTCACGGAAAACTAGTATTAAGCAAATTTTTTTTGCCCCTGTCAGGTTATCGGAGCTCATAACCCCTTTCCCCTAATTCTAAGTTGGAGGGGGGGGGAGGTATATAGGGACATAATTGTGAGTCTTGAGTCGCCCACGGGTGGCGGAAGTCACTTATCATCAGATGAGCTGCTCGTTGGCATCCTATAGCATAAAAAAAGACCAGGACGCGAGGGTACTCCGAAGAATGTTAATCAAAATCAATGTTGATATTATTACATTAACAATTGTTGTTAAATATTGTCACCAACACACATTTATTATATTTATAAATGTATGATTTTCCTAAATGCAAACAAGCGATGAAGTCGACAGTCGCAGCGTGATGTTTGCTGACTGAAGTGTAAAAAAAAAATATACTAGACCAAAGGATAAAACACACTATTAAATAGGCATTGAGGTCGAAATTCGATTTTTTACCATGATTTCGTGACGAAGGTCAAACAAACCGATGCCAACGATATCGCGCCAACCGGATATCCGAATAACGCAGCAAAAATACAAGATGACGTGTGATAAAAGTATTTGAGAACGATTTGGCGATTATTAAAATACTAGCGATCCGCCCCTGTTCGCACGGGTGCAATGTTGATACTACCTACTAATAAAGTGTCAGTGTAGAGTAATTAATTATACTATTATTTTGATAAGACTATACTACCGGACATCTTTATAAGGCCCGCTCCTGCCGGCCGCTGCCACCCGGGATGGACGTACGGCCCGACGTGGGGCCGGCCGCTTAACCCCGCATTTTAATTCTCTGAGAAGAATAAGATATTCATTTAAATAATATGCTACAAAACCTAAAGTATTTATTTGGATAAGTAATAATACTGTATTGTTCAAAATAGCATCAGATCAGCAGCATTTGACATATGTAAAAGATAAAAATGGTTTCTGTGGGTACTAAGGACATAGATATGTTCCACCACAGACCTTTTTGTAGATTTTTTTAGGATACATAATTCCATAGTACATTATTTTGATTACGATTTAGCTAGCGTTTACAATCTGTTAAGCGCACAAAAACATGTTTTTTACGATTTCACTACAAATCTTTGAAATTCTCGGATTTCCTCTACTACAGCTACAATATGCAGGTATTATACATATTAAGCAGCCTCTTTAATAACTCTCTCTATTGGTGAAAACCCCATCAAAATCCGTTGGTCGGGCGTGGGTTCGAGAATAATAATAACCTCACACATCTCACACACGGTCATCTGATCCCAAATAAGGCTTAACCTGTACTATGGCAACCATTCTGCTGATAAACATAGTAAAGATATCAAACATATCAAAGATAAATTACAGCCTGACACAGAACCATGACCGTGCTCATTACACAATAATTTGTTCTGGTTGGGAATTGAACCGAAATGCTATCCAGTCTTAGATCCTTAATATGTCTTGATGCTAAAGCTGTGAAGGCTTTGAAAAAAGTAGTATCTAACTGCTGGCCATTAAGTTCCATTCCGCTCTAACTGTGTTATCGCTGCATGTCAACTGACAACT